CTCTGAACAGCTGAAAGCCCGGCAGATTTAACGCGCTGTCCGGTATGGCGTCATTCAGCCAGGTTTATGTGAAACACAGAGCAGCAGAGTGTGAAAAATCCTTATTTGTCCGGGAGAGCAGAAGGAGTTCGTCCGTTTTGTTGGGTAGAGAGCAGAGGTTCGCCAGATGGATGCTAGGCAACGGCATTTGAAATCCGTGCTGCCTGAGCTTCACGAGGGCGCCGGCTCGCTTCCCCTGTCTGCGCGTCCTGAAGTGCTTGATCAGTGCCGCTGCTCCGCCAACTACTATGTCCTGTAAAACATCAGAATAGTCAAAAACCGGTAATATATCGGGTGATGTGTAGTGCCGAATGTCCAGCAATTCGTCTCTGGTGAAACTGATTGCAGGGATATAACTAAAGACAGGACAAACGAACAAAAACACAAAAACAACTGCAGAGCACGCCACTGAGGCCACCATCTTCATCGGCGCCATTTGTCAGCTTAGAATTCTTGATATCAACAGTTCAATTTTCACTAGTTAAAATGCTAATTATTGATATCAGGAATTAAATTTCAACTAGTAAAAACTATCATTCTTGATATCTGTAATTGTATTTTCACTAGTTAAAGGTCACCATAGGCTGCCATTCAAATTCAATTGTTGATATCAAGAATTGATTTCTTACTAGTTGAAATTTCAATTTCACATATCAGAAATACAATTCTTACTAGTAAAAACCTTTGTTTTTGATATCAGTAATCACATGGTTATCAATAATTAGCAGTTTAACTAGTGAAAATTGAAATGTTGATATCAAGAATTAACATATTTACTAGTGGAAATGTAATTCCTGATATCAAAAATAGCCATTGTTACTAGTTGAAATCCAATTCCTGATATCAAGAATTAACATTTTAACTAGTGAAAATTTAACTGTTGATATCAAGAATTCATATCCTGAGAATGAATAAAAGTCAATACGGCTTGCCATAGTTCTCTCCTGTGATGTGACCCTGTTCCCCTCACACACACACACACACACACACACGACACGTTACTCTGCGCCGCGCAAAACTCCGCATTTGAACAGTCAATAGCAAATACTTAAATTAATAACAAAACATACTTACAGTCGCTGATTCAGAAGTGCCAGATTGTCATAGCAAAGTCAGAATTGGCATTATGCTAATATTTCCACATAGTGACGTAGACATGTGGGGGCGTGTTAGAACGAGCCGTTTTAGGTAGGCGTGGTTGACTCTTAACTTTTATAAAGAATATCTCTTTGGATTTGAGACTTTAGTCTTTGCAACTTTACAGATCTTCTTTATGCACCAAGACCTTGTAACACTCCAAAGAGAAAGGAAAACTTGAAATCGCATCATATGACCCCTTTAAGATGTGACTTTAGGCTACTCAAGTTCAAGCATGCTAGTCATGCTACTCAGCAGTCAAAATGGTTGAGTCAAAAGCTTTCAAAAAATGTGAGCAAACTCTCATCCCCTTTACTGGTAAAGAAAGTGTTAAGACAAATAAATATAAACATTTGCTAAATTAGTTGTCATAGCACAAAATATAAAATATATAAACCATCTTACTCACTACTTTAGGAAGATGGGCCCCATCTGGCTATAATTCTTATTTATTTTTTTTAAAGTGGCATTCATGTTATTCTATAGCATATTCTATTTGAAACTGTGTTTTGACAATTTACGTGAATAACTGGATTTATTAACTTTAATTAACTGGAAAAGGCTATCCATTATTCATGGAATTATTAATAACCCTATACATTAAGCATAAAAAAAATTATCTCAAACTTTTTGCATTTTCCCACATTTATCTGCTGTTTTGTGATCTACAACATATCTCATCCATCTATTCTCCATCTGCTTGTCATCCCTATTGTGTAAGTTCAAGTGAATGTATGTAGTAGCGGGCTATTAGAAAACATGGACATGGGCTTTCATTTTCTATATATATATTTACTTTATAAAAAAAAAAAAAAAAAACAGTTGAAAAAATACAATTTGCCAACCTACATCAACTGGGAGTAAAATAAATGAAAATATGAAATAAACATTTCCCTGTCAGCTCAGCCATGATATTTCTATTTTCTAACACTAAGGTTATAGTTTTGAGTAAATGTTATATATCCAGTAAAACAAGTATCTGTTGATTCATATGATACAAGTTCTGTCCTGTAACATCCATTGACCTGGTTGCAAATCAAACATACCATTTCTAAAAGGTTTTTTTTTGTCTTGCAAATTAGAAACATTTTAATATTTTGTATTGCATTTTATTTTCATATACAGACTTGCATCATTTGTGTAATTTTTCACAGAACACTTAAATGCTATAGCCAACTGTAAAAAGGCAGAATAATAAAATGGCAAATAGATCTTGATATCTTTTCCACTGTCATTTCCAAAATTACTTCCAAACTGAAACAGAATTTATCCAGACTGCATAAAAGAGATTGGGGCTAGTTGTCACACATTTTACTCGAGTTAATACTGTACTCAGCGAAAGTTTTTTTCTGAAATTCATATATTTGACTACAAAAAGCTATTTTGTTCATTTTACATACGACACTACAACATATTTCCCCACAGTGCACTCTTCAACGATGATTCCATAAAGAACATTAAACATCCTTTATCAATGCAATGTTTCCATTCCGCAAAAGATTCTATATAGTGGAAAAAGGTTCTTTAGATTATTAAAATACACTTCACACTAGCAAAAAATTTACGGTTCACTCAAAGGTTATGTGGCATCGCTGGAAAAACTAGAGCCCGACCGATATGAGCCTGTCGCCGATATATCGCTATCACCATATATATCGGACACCAGTCAACACTTTCCCTTCAGTAAGGAGGTCTCTTGTTCAGGCAGCAGCATTCAAGTGTTGTCTTATTCGACCGTAAGTGCCCTGCGAAGCGGACTTCACATGAAATTCCGCCATGATTCCAGTTCCAAGGGAACGTACACGTTACATTCAAAGGGCAATAAAGTGCGCGAGACGTGCTAGACAAGGGTAAATCCACATGGGGTTCAGAATATATATGTTTTTATCCACAGTAATTTTACACTTGTCTAGTACAAATATGTCGC